GGTTCTGTGCACCAGCTGCCCAAACAATTGTGTGACCAGCTGCTTGACTGGACTCATGACAGAGACCCCATGAAACGATGAAAAATGCTTGTGCAATTCCTGTTTCAGGGGACTTAAATCCAAGAGGATACAGGCCTACAAAACAGTTTAGCACTCGCTTGGCTTTCCATGCACATTTCAGCACTCGCTGGCGTGCAAGGAAAACCAAAGAAGCACCATGACGAATACCTCCGCGCCATAACTGAACTAAAGACACGTAAAATGAGAGTGGCCTAAATCTGATCACTAGCCCCAACTGAATCAATTCCTAAAGGATGAGTTGAACCTTAGGGAGTTCCCAGTGATTCACTGGGTCAGGACTAGTTGGGAGTAGCCATTGGACATCGGTCTGTGTATTTTGAGACGTACGGGAGGGCCTCCACTTTCCGCTTCCTCCACCAATGCCCAGAGAGATAAACCAAAGTCTCTCGGACTTTTTAGGGGAGAGGAAAGGGTTCGCTTCAAGGTCAACTCCCTAGAGCACAGAGCTTGCCCATCCTGAATGGCTGTTACGAACCTAAGTCCTCCGTCGTAGTCTCCGCTGATCCCTATATGTTCTGAACCTATCAATGTCCTGATGTGGTCAAAATGGTCTAAGGGATGAGAAGAGAGATGACAGAACGTGAGCGCAGAGCAGAACAGACAAGTAACATGACTTGGTCACTAAAAGTAGACAATGCATACTGGTTTCGGAGGAGGTGCATCTTGTATCCAACTTTTCAGAGGAGACAAAACAGTTCTTTTGAAGGTCAACCTGGAGCAACAGATCTTGCACTTAGCATGCTTTATTTTAGAAAGCTGCTCATCAGAAGGTAAACCTGGACTAAATCTTACTGGGGAGGCCCATGTCTCTGAAGAAATTCTATCAAGTGGAGGAAGGATGAATTAAGCTGAAGAATAAGCATTCCTCTTATTTACATCCGTAGTAGGCAGTTTGGATGATCTGGGGCCACATCAAGCCTAGAAATGACCTAAAGTGCCCCCCAAATAGATTATATATATGACTAGAAGTGCCATGACAGACACTTCGAGTTTTGATTTTGGGGGCATTGAGAGGCTGAGATGGCTTGGAGGGCCTTTGCTAAAGCAAAACATTTTAGTGGCTTCCAGAAAGGGGGAAAGTCATCTAGCATGTATAACAAATACAGTAAGTTCTTTTAATCCTAATTTCTTCCATACTTTATACATGTTTCTATTGGTGTTGTGCCTGCCGCTCCAACAGGGTTGCACTTGTTCCATTTCTGGAAAACCTCTGGAAGAGCCTATCGGGTGGACAGGGCAGCAAAATAAATTCATATGCCATTATCATCCACCACCAATGGGGCACATCTAAGTGGCTTCCCTCACTTGTTGCTCAAATTCTTAATCCTGTTCTAAGAAGGCTCCTGAGAATGAAGAAATCCGAATTTGAATCAGGCCGTCAACTGTTCATTGTAAAGGTCTGAGCTGCCTTCTTCTGCATGCAGAATAAGGTCACTTATCCTGGAGTTTTCCAGCAGTTTAATGCCCAGCACCTGCTTCAGGTCCAGTGGGTTTAGGGATAGGGACATGAGTCATGGAACTCACTGTCAAGTTGCACCAGTGACTCAATTTTTTTTCAGTGACTTGGACTTGAGACTCGGAACCCATTCACCTCTCTCTTTTTCCTGGGGGAAAAAGCTTGTTTTTAATAGGGTCTTGGGCTTGGGGCTTTGGAAGGGGGGGGGGAAAGCTTGTTTTTAATAGAGTCTTGGGCTTGGGGCTTGGGACTCAAAGACTTGGACCCAGAGAATTACCAACATCCCTGGTAGCCTGCGGAAGTCCTTTTCAAATGTTGACCCTCTCAATGTTTTGAAGCTCTGCTCTGAGAAGCTTCAGGCAGTACGGACAATGGTCAATGATCTGGAGAGCTGAAGTCTTCGACATCTGGATGTCCAATAAGTAAATGGCTTTCGATCAAATTGAAAGGAGCTTCTTTAAAAGGACACCTCTAGCCCAAGTTGCAATAGACACTAGGACACAACTGTGGTATCTGTGCTGGATTCTACCTTTCTCCCCCTCCCAGTTCTATGAGAATATATAGAACAGACACAAACCTGCCACCGTCAAAATATTGACTGCATCTTTGCCACAGGTGAGGACCTCAGCATAGAAGGTCACCATAACGATTCCATTGTTTCTCTTCTGCAAGAAGGAAGACAGAAGGAATGCCTCAGGAGTGCTTTTTAAGCCACAGAATCACCAGGAATAACATTTGTGAGTTTGTGTGTAAGGAGCGGAAGTATCTCATCTACCCACATTTTACAGAACTGATTTTTATGGTGATAAAATAACAACACAGCCACCTGTCTGAAAGCTGTCCTCCATGACACACAGAGATGTGCCAGCTGTCCAGTACTAAACATTATGCATAACTGTCAATGCAATATCAAATATTGGAAGTTTCACAAGACAGACAGACCGGCAGATTCAACTTCAGGGCTAACTAGATCCATTCAACTCACTGGGACTTACATTAAGGATGTACAACAATTGTTATTCATGTCACTGGATCTACTATAGTTGAGACTAAACATGGTTCAAGATGCCTCTGAACTTTCAAACAACATTCAGTTTCAAAATGCACAGGGACAATATTTGGGATCAAGATACTTCCAGCTCCGTTCAAAGCAATGTTGGCCTAGATTTTAAGCCACTGATCTTGGTTCCACCTTTATCTTGCTGTGATTCCAGCCTTTTAATCTACCCCTTGACAGCTCATTTCCATAAATTGTACCCTTCGCGTTAGCAAAATGTTTGTAACTAATATAGTTGCTCTTATTTCAAATGAATATGCCCAAACTGCAAATAAACTGCCCAATGATGGGTTTTACAAGCAATGGAATAATAAGCTGAATTATATATACACCGGTACCAGCACGACAGAACTCGAATGTTTGTGAAGCAGAGAGAAGTGAAAGCTGAGCCTGTGAAGGGCATAATGCATGCTTTAGTGGCATGCTCACAGCACATTGTTTTGGGAGGCACACCCCTCCATTTGCCAAAATGACAAAGTGTGCAAACAACTTTGAGATTCATTAACAAAAAAAGCCCATTATTCCACTTTTCATAACATGCGATTAATTTCACAAGTTTTGAATTGTACTTTGGCTTACATTTTTGGCATATGTGACTTTTCTCAACATTATTCAATTTTCTGCATGCCCCCCTAAGTGTCCTGGTTTGTACCCCAGGTTGAGAATCACTTCTCTAAGGAGTCATTCACCTTACTGAGAAAGAGAGAGAGAGAGAGAAATCTTCTAACCGTTGCGTACAATCTTTTCTCTGCATGCTTTTCCTCCCTCCCTCCTACAGGAAAGCAATAAATTTCACCCACCAGTCGGTACAAAATATGGTCAGGAATATTCCCGGTGTGGTTGCAAAGAGAAAAGGCTGATGAATGGCTGAAAATGACGGGCGCTTTGGAGAGGCGGAGAACAGCCAAGGCAGTGGCATCAGATGTGTGAGATAAGTCTATTATCATCCCCAGCCGATTCATCTCCTTCACCACTTCCTAGTATAACACAAACAGACAGTGTTACTGGGTTTGTTTTCCAGGCCAGGGATGGAACTCAATGTGTGTTTCAGAAGGTGTGAAAGTGAAGTCAGAAATCAGATTGAGAGAGTAAGCCTCAGGATGTCGAAAAATGGAAATAGTCTTTATTCTGACTTAAAATTGCTCAACGTGTTTCATCCGAAATGCGTTGAGCAATTTAAAATCAGAATAAAGACTATTTCCATCTCTTTGGCATCCTGAAATTTAGTCTCTCATTGTGATTTTGGATACCACTGGACACACCATTTTCTTGTGTTTCTGATCCTGGTGTGAAAGTGGAGGCTGTATCTCTTTGCACAGCAGAAGTGCAAGAGACAGGAGAAGGGCCATGTCAGTCCTCCCAAGGTCTCCGAGTGAAAACAAGCACACTTTCCAGTTACAAAGGTTTTTCTTCACCTGCCATGAGCTAATAACTCTCTCACAGGCGTGATCTACTGAAAAGTTGATGGCGACAAGACCTGTCACATGTTTTCCTCCCCTCTTGGCACCGGGGAAGGGGCAGCCTGGCCTGCCAAAGCTTCCCTAGGATGGCCCTTTTCCAACATCACCAAGTGCCTGCCTCCCCATTATTGGAGGGTAGCACAGCTCTCGGCTCTCAGAATGGTCCTCTGCCCTCAAAATGCTCTGGAAATTGGAGAGGGGAGATGGGTGGGTGATACTAACCATCGCTCACCAAGACACAACGTCCATGGCAGACTTGTTGCTGTAGAAGCAGAGCTAGACTTGAAGCTAGCAGAAGGGTTACTTTTACACTGGCATGCGAACAAGTGATGTGGCCGCTCAGCAGCTCGTATCCAATTTCTTAAGAGGAACAAGGGGCGTTCAGCTAGCTGTGGTTGAGTGGCAACAGGTCTATTATGCCCTTAGACGTCCGTGGCTGGACATGGGCTTCACTGACTGTCTCCGCATGTGTCTACCCTGGTGCCTCCCAGCCTTGGGTCCCCAGAAAGGAACCATAACTCCCAGAAATCCAGAACAGGTAGTGGGGAAGGCTTTGGGGACTTCTAGTCCAAGACCCTCTGGGTATCCAAGGTCTGTTGGCTCACAGTGTTGCTTGCTCGGAACTCCACTATCCTTAGAGCAGTGGTTCCCAACCTTGGGTAACCCAGTTGTTCTTGGACTGCAGCTCCCGAAACCCTGGCCAGCACAGCTAGTGGTGAAGGCTTCTGGGAGTGGCAGTCCAAGAACAACCGAGTCACCCAAGGATGGGAACCACTGCCCTACCCTCTGCCCAGTAATCCCAGTAAGTGCAGGTGATAAACTTGCATTGATTAAGTCCCTGTCTTTTGTTCCTGACTGTTCTACACCAATACATCCCTAAGGAAGTAAAAAATGTGCACTTTTTTCACAGAGCAGCACAGAAACAATCCAACTGCATGTTATTTTATTTAAAAAGAGGATGCGCCATCAACCCTTAATGCCAGTTGAATCTTGCTTGTTTCTGAGCAGATTGGAAGCAAACCATTATGAAAGGGGAGGAATTATCCGTCAAAAGATGAGATGAAATGAGGTGATATTATGTTGAATATTAATATCAATAGGGCTCCCTGAAGAACCTTCACCAACTGGTTGTCTTCTCACTTGTGCTAAAACTGGTGGGGACTTGGGCACAGGAAGTGACACAACATATTTCTATCTGACAGGGAAAAAAACAGAGTAGAACTGGACAGATCAGGCAGGTAAGGTGGTCAACAATGAAGCCATCACCGGGGTGGACTTCACTATATAGACTGCAGCACAGAAGAGAGGATTACACTAATTCAGTGTCCTGCACACTAGATTTTGGATTACAAGCTCATTTGCCTCCCAAAGAGAGGAACCTAATGGCTTCTACATAACCTTTAAAGGGGTTAAAGCAAAATCCAAGAGCTATTTAGTAATATAGAGAGGGTAGTCTGGTAGCAGACTGGCTGGAAAGAAATTCTGCAAGGGATTCTTGTACGATTTGAAGCTTTAATTATTACAGGAAGCTCGGTGGTTTCTTTAGAAGAGAATTGGATCAATGTAAAGAGGAACTGCATGGTTACTCACTTCACCGAAGCCAGTCAAGGTGTACGTGTCGGCATAAAGGCTGCTTGTCTGACGTAATGAGGACTGTGCCCTAGGGGGGGAAAATTGAAAGACAAAGTTGATTCCAAATGGAGAAGGTGAACTGCTAGATCACTCAGTGGTTGAGGTCTCTGGTTGTAGAGCCAGAGGTTGGGAGTTTGATTCCCCCGCTGGGCCTCCTTGACTTGATGATCCATATGGTCCCTTCCAGCTCTGAAGTTCTAAGATGACGATGTACAAGGAATTATATACCGGACACAGAACCAGCTGCCTTGGGTACCTTTTCAGGAGAAAGGCAGCGTGAAAAAGTTTTAAATCAATCCATCCATCAATAATTCAGAATTCAAAGCTGGAAATAAGACTCCAGTTATGTTTTTGTCCTTTAGATCCAAAATATTGTTCAGAGAAACCAACAGAAGTGAATATGGAAAAATATAATACGTTTGGTTCTTAATATTTTGGATGCGGTGAAGAGAAAAGAGGTAAGTGCCAGAAAAAAACAGCTTCCCTGAACTTATCAAATTAAGGGCAATACATATTCCCCATTATTGTCCTGTTTTCCCTTCGAAGAGGTCATTTCCTCAGAGAGACATATATCTCAGCAGAATAGCAAATTAAGTCTGTGTTTGCCTTCCAATGACCAATAAGAAAACAAAGCATGCTAAATGCAGTAGATGAGGAAGATCACATATTATACCAGATGCCTTTTGCCACATGAGGGACCGCCTTACAAACATCCCAGATAAACAGAACTCTTGGTTCTGGCTGTGTTTTTAAAACCAGGATAGGTTTATCACTGTCTCTTTGGAAACCGGAAACCCTAGAAAGAGCACTGGCTTGGGGGTTACCAAGGGGTGTTGCAGTCGTGAGTCAGCATCATGTAGCGAACCCCCAGCTCATAAAATATCCTCAGAGCCGCAAGGCTGCTGTCGATGGAGTGCCCGCCTTCAAGACCGATCAAGCATGCAATCTTGTTCCTTCCAATATAATCAATACCTGGATTTTTAACAGAAAGATGAAGCAAATAATGCAAAACTGACAAGAAAGGTAAAGGTAGAGGTTCCCCTTGACATTCAGTCCAGTTGTGTCCGATTCTACGGCACGGTGCTCATCCCCCGTTTCCAAGCCGTAGAGCCAGCATTTTGTCCATAGACCATTTCCATGGTCATTTGGCCAGCGTGTCTAGACACGGAACGCCGTGACCTTCCCACTGAGGTGGTATATGTACTATGATTAGCAACAAAAAACATGTGTGAGCTTTAATTAAGACAGTCTGTGTTTCAAGCAGTTTCACTCCAATCCTCAGACCTTGCAATAAAAGAAGCTGTTGTCATGTGCGTCTTTCCCACAGGTGGATGATGGTGGTGGCCAAAGAGCATGTGGCCAATGGGTCTTCGTAGCCACTAAAAATGTTGCCATCCAGCTGATCACAGAGTAAGCCCTACTGCGTTTTAAAATAGTGTGCATTGGGCACCATTTTAAAGTGCAGTAGCGCTTACGTCATGGGAAGCGATGAAAGTGGCTTTAATTCACACCTAGGTTTTACTGGGTATGTGGGAAAAGCCTGGGAAGCGGTTGGAACACATTTTGCTGTTGTTCTTTGCTGCTCCAGACAGCTCATATGTGGAGACTAGACCCAATATGTAGAAATTGCTCTGTTTTTCTCTTTTTAAAAAGTGGAGGGATGTGTGTCTCCTTTTCTCCTTGGAAATTGTCCCTAGTAATAGGGATACCAAATCACACATTATTTCCAGGGTCTGCCCACATCCCCCTTCACCAAAAACAACAACAACAACAACACAAAAACCCTCTAAACAAGGGGGCATCCTTCTTCCCCCCCCCAGACAATTCTTTTTCACCCTGAGCTGAAGTGACCAGTTCCAGTTCTTCATAATTTTCACACATGCGTTTGATGACATCGATCTGTTCCAATGCCAGATGCACCGCGTTTTTGTCCTGAGCATCGCAGGGAATGTATACAGACCAAAACTGAAAGAAACGTAGACAGGTTACATTTATTTCAAATGCCTGAAAGATCTATGCTAGTCCTTCATAGGACTATGGGCACCAGAGAATGAGAACTTCTCTGCTTTGGACCTCAGAGAGAGAGAGAGAGAGAGAGAGAGATGGATGGATGGATGGATGGATGGATGGATGGATGGATGGATGGATGGATGGATGGATGGATGGATGGATGGATGGATGCAAAGAGAGGTGGATGGAAGGATGGATGGATGGATGGATGGATGGATGGATGGATGGATGGATGGATGGATGGATGGATGGATGCAGAGAGAGGTGGATGGATGGATGGATGGATGGATGGATATATATGTATGGTATATATGTGGTAGGTGGATAGATGGATAGATGAATTGATCACTAAGGATTCTGGGAGGATGGATGGATGGATGGATGCAGAGAGAGGATGGATAAATGGATGGAGGGAGGGATGGAGGGATATATGTATCCCTCCATCCCTACCTATATATATATGGTAGGTGGATAGATGGATAGATGAATCGATCACTAAGGATTCTGGGATCTTCAAGCAGAATTTAGGCTTAGCTTAGGTAATAATTCTGAAGAGAAAACATCTTTTCACCTTCTAATTGTGAAGCTGGTGTCTCATCTAATCTAACCCTGAGAAGTCTTCCCACCATTACTCAGTAATAAGTAATAAGTCTTCAGCCAGCAACTCAATATACTGGACACCTTCTGTCCGTTCTCCCCAGTCTCATCTATGGCTCACCATAGCGATGAAACAAATTCAAAGCAGACCCACTTTCACACCCTAACACAGCTACCTGTGCACCGACATGGCCAGCCTGGAGCTTCTGAATATTTGTCTGTGTGGTGTTGAGGGTCCTTAAGTCAATCTTACTCAGCTTGTTTTCATAAAACCACCTCAACTTCACAGGCAGATCGTTGTGCCTGAAGAATAAACAGAGGGGGAAAGCAGAAGAGTTACTGTACTGGGTTTTGCTGTTTTACTTGTAGATTTATTTATTTTTTTGGCTGTCTGTTCAAGGTAAACGAAACCCTTGTTTGGACAGATTCTGATAACAGCATTCACAAAACTGTGGTTTCAAACAGTGTTGTAAGCACACCTATGCAGGTGGCAGCTCTACTAACAGTACAGTATATTATTTGGAGAACAACATCTCGATACTGGATATCTGTAATCATGCTGAAGGAAAAAAAAGCCTATTTTATTGTCTCCGAGAGCATGTCATGGCAGTGAAAGTCAACCCAGGGGTCAGAGCAAAATGCATTTCCCTTGAATGGGACAAGTTCCTCCACCCCTCGCACCAAAGGCTTCAAGCAATGAAACTCTAATAATGTTTTTGCTGTGTAGGAGAAAAAAGAATATTCCCCACAGAATCATTATTTTATTTTATTTGCATGGTGAGGAATATCTTATAGAAAGTGAGGATATTCTGTCTGCGAAACACCTCAGAGCAACCCTTTCCCCATCAGTTTTCTCTAGATGCGTTTTGCTCTCTGCTCACATACCAAAACATTGTGTTTGGGATTCCGCATAGTAAAGCTACTGGAGGTTTATACAATGAGTGCAATCAAAATGGGGGCACTTCAGTCTAGTACATGACTTATACATGCTTGTAGTGTCAACAAACACAGATTAGCAAGTTTCCTTAAAATGCTAAAGCTGGGGTTGATGAGAAAAGGTAGTGTCAACAAACACAGATTAGCAAGTTACCTTAACATGCTAAAGCTGGGGGTGGGGGTTGATGAGAAAATGAGTCTACAGGCCCCTGCCTCATATCACCAGGTCTAATCAGAAGCTGACTGGTTCAGGACTCTGGCTGTGGAGCCAGAATTTGGGAGTTCGATTCCCCCACTGGGCCTCCTGAGGGAAGAGACAGCCTGGGTAGCCTTGGGCAAGCTGCACAGTCCCAGGACGTCCCCAGAAGAAAGGGTATGCTCTACTTAGAAAATCCTGGGCTACAGGCCCCTGCCTCATATCACCAGGTCTAATCAGAAGCTGACTGGTTCAGGACTCTGGCTGTGGAGCCAGAATTTGGGAGTTCGATTCCCCCACTGGGCCTCCTGAGGGAAGAGACAGCCTGGGTAGCCTTGGGCAAGCTGCACAGTCCCAGGACGTCCCCAGAAGAAAAGGTATGCTCTACTTAGAAAATCCTGGAAAAGGTTGCCATAAGTCAGCATGGGCTTGACGGCATGCAATTATTTTTACAACTAATCAAAGTGAGTCCCATGGAGCTCAGCAGAACATGCCGAAGAATCAACGCAACAAGGTTGTGTGGGAGGGGGAGCCCTTTCACATGACGATTTTTAAATGCATGACTTAATAACACCGACTTATTCATCCTTCATAGGGTTCATAAGAATCCTAGGGTTCCAAAAGGGTCAGTTGCCTGACCATTTCTGAGTTGACAGGGCAGGCGAAGGGTGAGGAAGAGAGGGGTGGGGGGAATTCTACATACCCATCAATTAAAGGGGCTTCTCTCATAAGATCAAGAGCCTTCTGCCTTAAGGAGTTGTAAGCCTGGGAATCCCAAATGTTACAGAACAACCACCAAAATTGCAGCAGGCGGAACTGCAGCAAGGCATGCGTCAATGCCACCCTCATGTTCCTTGAAAAGAGAGGCTCCTAGAGGAACAGCAGCAATGATTAAAACACAATGATTTAAACACAAACCGGTGGGCTTATCCTGTCCACGTTTAATCCAGACAAGCTAGGAGGGAGCCCTAACCCCAAAGCGGAAAGGCATCTGCCACTCCCATCGAAAGGGATTCATCTCACTTCCTCGGCCATTGTGACAGATCTGCTTTCTTCCCACGTAGAAAAGAAGCACTTTGCGAGACCTGGCTTTACGAGTTCAGCATGTCCCCTTCTGGAATGACTCCACCCTCGACCCACCACCTGCTCTTATCACAATCACTATCCACTATCTGGCCGTAAAGTGGCCCATGGCAACTTAATGTGGGAGAAAACAGCCTTCAGGGGCTAATCTGAGATGAATTTTGGGGGAGAGGGCAGACCTGGGTTCTCACTAAGCCATCGAATTCAGTCTCTGGCTTCACCTCAACGCCTCCCCACCTACTCCACCCTCGACCCACCACCTGCTCTTATCACAATCACTATCCACTATCTGGCCGTAAAGTGGCCCATGGCAACTTAATGTGGGAGAAAACAGCCTTCAGGGGCTAATCTGAGATGAATTTTGGGGGAGAGGGCAGACCTGGGTTCTCACTAAGCCATCGAATTCAGTCTCTGGCTTCACCTCAACGCCCCCCCACCTACAGTTCCCCCCTTGTGGGGGGGGGGGTGACAGGAGAAAGGACTGCCGTGCCTGTGAAGTAAATATGTAAATAAGCAATCAAGGAAATGAAAAAAAAATAAAGTTAAAAAAATTAAATAAATGGTATTATTTAAAGCAGGGAAGAGAAAACCATTTGCTGCTCTTGTTTCGCAATTGCCAACCAGAAATGGTTGCAAATCCGCTGTGCCTCTCATTTGATCTGTGTTTCCCGACCCTTTTTAAAATCCATTTCCCCCTTTTTCTTCTTCTGTTATTTATTTCATTTTTACCCTGCTTTCCTCACAGAAAGGGATCTGAGGCAGCCACTAACCCTAAAACACATACACCCTGTTTATATCAGAATTTGCATATACTGTACCAAATTTCTAAACTGTGCTTCTCATACTTGGGATGCGTTTGTACATCGACACCGATTAACACTGGGGAAATGTGGCATATTAATGTTTGTTGTGCATCGATGCATCAGCCATGAATCCAAGTTCATTTAGCTAGCCTTTGAGCCCTTATTTCAAATCAAAGAAAGCTACTGTGTTGATAAACAGCCCAAATATTTATTAGGTGTTCGATGCAATCAAGGTAAGGAGGGTTTAAGTAGAACCACCCCTCCAAAGAAAAAAGAAGGAACAAAGTCCCAAACCCGAAACTGGTGCGAGGCAGACATGTTAAGTTGTGTGTGTGTATCTCTGGCCAGCCACATAGTTTCCTATCTCCAGGATGTGACAAAAGAGGCCAAAAGCTAAAATAGCATGTGCAATAAAGTTACAATAAAGTTAAGCTCCAAACCATGGTAACTGGTTTCATCAGGCACCTTTCAATAGAAGGAGATCATTCCAAATCTAGAGGCTGGATGTAACAAATTAAAAGTACTAAAATTACCAGTATAATATATAACTTTAAGAGTAGCAGAATTACAACATTAGATTTAAATGTAATACTACAGCTGGTCATAGTTTTTGTTGTCTAACTTGTAGTGATTAACCTGTCCCTGGTGCAGGCTTCAAAAACCACTATGGAAAGATTATTCACACACACACACACACACACACACACACACACACACACACACACACAATTAAAGTTATTTTCATAGTCTTTTACCTAAAGCTGAAAATACAAAAACAAAAAGGGATTAAAGAATCTTGCTCTGTTCCAAGAACTCCATTATCTGTGTGAGCATGTGAAAACTGAACAGGGCTTTTAGCACTTTCTAACTCCTGAGGTAAAAGCTGTCTTCTTTGGAACAGAAATAGACACGATGGCTTTAAAGCATGTCCCTGGTAGAGACCTGGGCTTGAGATAAGATAATGCTTTGAAGGGCTCAGACTGAACTCGGAACTGGTTATCTGATAGGGCACCTGGAACAGGTGTGGGTGTTGTTTCGGGACTTTGTAAACTATTCTATTTTACCTCTTGACGTAGAAATGGAAAGGCTTCATACCACTGGTGTGGGGGGGGGGACATGCTTACCTTCCGTCCTTGAACAGGAAGGAAAAAGCCTGCCTCTAACCAGTCAACACTTGTTTAGTCGTTAAGTCATGTCTGACTCTTCGTGACCCCATGGACCAGAGAACGCCAGGCCCTCCTGTCTTCCACTGCCTCCCGGAGTTGGGTCAAATTCGTGCTGGTAGCTTCGATGACACTGTCCAACCTTCTCATCCTCTGTCGTCCCCTTCTCCTCTTGCCGTCACACTTTCCCAACATCAGGGTCTTTTCCAGGGGAATCTTCTCTTCTCATGAGATGGCCAAAGTATTGGAGCCTCAGCTTCAGGATCTGTCGTTCCAGTGAGCGCTCAGGTTTGATTTCCATCAAGATGGATAGGGTTGTTCTCCTTGCAGTCCAGGGGACCCTCAAGAGCCTCCTCCAACACCACAATTCAAAAGCATCAATTGTTCAGTGGTCAGCTTTCTTTATGGTCCAGCTCTCATTTCCATACATCACTCCAGGGAAAACCATAGCTTTGACTATGTGGACCTTTGTCGGCAAGACAATGTCAATGCTTTTTAAGATGCTGTCTAGGTTTGTCATTGTTTTCCTCCCAAGAAGCAGGCATCTTTTAATTTCATGACTTCTGTCACCATCTGCAGTGATCATGGAGCCCAAGAAAGTAAAATCTGTCACTGCCTCCATATCTTCCCCTGTAGTTAACACTACATGGAGGGGGAAAAGATGTTCTCAGTTAGCAGTGGAGAAATGCAAGGAATTGAAACACTAGTTGGTCAAAACATTATTTTTCCCCCTAAAAATCCTCAAAAGGTATGGATTTGTAAAACAGAGAAATGCTATTTTTTCCCCAACTTCCCATCTTGCTCCTCCACCAAGTTCAAGCTCTCTGTTCGCTTTTTCCTCCCAGAATGTGTGGCACATCATTTCTGCACTCTCGGATGCAGACAAGATCTGTAACGCAGATCCCATTCACATGAGTAAATGCAAAAATGGCCAGGTTGCTTCTGTGATTTTCTTTTGTACCACCGCACGCTCCTTTCAACAGAGCACCTTTGCATCAAAAAACGAGGCATGCAAAGTGCCTGGACCTTGTTTCGAAGCTTATTTATGCTTCTTGTTGGACTTCAAAGCAAGGCTTGTGGTTTAACTGCACCTGTTTTTAAAAAACCCAAGAACACAGTTAAGGTTTTCTTTTCATACATTGCTTCCAAATTCAGCAGTCTGGGTGTAGGACTGAAAGAAAGGCAGCTGTTTCCAGCGCTGTTGCTATGCCACCGCACTGCCAGCAGATCCTCTTTGTGGACCATAAAAACAGCTGGGGGTAGCATTTCTGGACCCCATGTGAGCATTTAATGTATTGCCCATTTGACTGGCAAATGGGCTGCTTGTCCTCCTGTTTTTGAAAAAAGCTTCCTCTTCTTTTAAATTATAAACCATCAGGGCAGAAGACAAAGGGAAACACCGATGATGCAGACTTAATATACTTTGATTCAGACACGTTTCATTCTTGCTACTCCTGTTTCCCCATCATTTTGGTCTGGTTTTTAAGCTCCAATGAGAGATAAGCCTTTTAAAATTAAGAGGAAGAACATTTTTAAAAAAGTATTTTCGAGAAAGCCAGTATCTGTCTTTGGTGGGTTTTTTTATTTTCTTTCCATCCAATGAACTGGCCTCTGGTCGATGAACACTTATGGCTAAAGAGGTGTGCAAGGTCAGGATCCTTCCCGAACGATGGCACATTTAGGCAGAAACTGAACACTCCAGAAAAAACGGGTGGATTTCATAGTGATTCCTGCTTATGAGACAAGGCCTATTGTGATTTAAAAATGGTGTCCAAATGGCACATTTTAAAAACTGCAGTAGGGATGGCACCTGGCTTTTATGCCCTGGGAAGGTTCCCCAAGATGGAAGACTTTGAGGGATGGAAGGAGAGAGAGAGAGAGAGAGAGAGAGAGAAATCCACATGTCATCTGAATGCTCTAAAGTGACCCAGTCACTGAAAGCAAACTCTCAAGACTCCGGATAAAATATTCATTCCGGAGCTCATCTGCCTCCACCTTTGGCTCCATCTCCAGTTCAAACCTCAACCTTTCCAGCCCCTAAGTGTCTGCCTTCCCTCCTTCTCCATTCCCAAATCCCCTTCCCTTTCAGACCGTCACCTTCTGTGGCTCAGTCCACACTCTTTTACTTTGCATGACCTTAGTATGCGTTAAAACAGGGCATGTGTCACGCGTGGGTTCAGACCCCTTTGCAGCTAAACTTTATTCCAGATTATTATAAAAGTGTCATTCCAACCCTGCAGAGTATCCCACAACCTGCTTTTGCTTTTTTTTTGGGGGGGGGAGGGCGGTTTCTGTCTATCACACGATGGGGTGTGTGATCAAGTGTGGAACCGGGGCAATCGGATGGATGATGGACAAACAGCCAACGAGCACATGCTGCTCATGCTGTTACCCTTCTGAGATCCTGGACTTCCTGGATTCTGCCTGGTGTTGCAAGACTTGTTTCTACTGCATCAGAATTTATAAGGCTAACCCTGAGGATACCTGAACATTTTCTTTCTTTTCTATATTGAAATATACAAAAAAGGGGAGACATCAAAGGCATTGAACACCTTGTTTTTTTTTTAATCTCTCCTTCTGTCTGCAATGGGATGTCGTGCGAGCTCTTGGAATAGATAGTGCAATTTCACCCTTTTATCTTATTTCCATCAGGAAATGAGTGGCTTCATCCTGATTAATCACATTGTTATCCAGAACATTCTGCCTTGAAAGCTTCTGCTTTCAAGCCAGTCAGAACCAGTTAAGCATACAACCAAGCCCAGCTAATTCTGGTGCACTATGACTTGTCAGGGAGTGCTCT